ACAAAAACCCATAACACATCAGCACAGTGCAGGAATCTCTTCCAGAAATTTCCAGGTAGATGCAGGGTTTGAGGGGCACATCCATTTTCCAGCAGTTTGAGGGGCAGTTTTTTTTTAAATCAAATAGCTACTGACCATGATAGTTCTGTATCAATTTCTTCTTTGCAATAGCACTAGTCTTTAATTTATATTATAGAGTCCAGGCAAAGCGGGAGGTAGGAAAAGGGAATATGAATATGAATGGATCTATAATATGAATGGTCTTTAAATTAGCTTATTTGGAATCTTGTCTCCTAGCTGCACATGATCGCTTTTCTGAAGCGTACTGGCCCATCCCACCACCCTGTCACAGTTAGTTTAGTTGGCTGACATCCTCAGAGCCAACAGAGAGTGTGTCGCTGGCTCAAGCTGCTATTTGCTTGGCAGCTGTTGGGTCTCTGCACTACGCAGGGTTACTAGCTTAGAAAATAGATGGTGGGACTGGACAATGAGGACCTGGGGCCCTCCATATCTGCGAACCTAGAGGCTTCACAGGCTCACACTGTGCAGACCTGAGGACTTTTCATACAGTTTCTGGTTCCGATTAGCCCCTGCGACTGCTCACACCCACCTCGGCAAAGCCAGCACCCTCAGTGTCACCAAGCCCCAAGCCCAGCTCTGTCCTCCTGCTCATCTGCCTTGGATTCGAGGGCCATGAGCACACAGATGCCGAGCCACAGATGGGGAGTGTGGGGAACATGCCAAATGCAGCACATGAGTGTGAGATTTGGGGCAGGAGCTGCCTAGGTGTGGGCAGACATACAGGTTGGGAACCTGAGCTGGCAGGAGTGAAAATGCAACTGGCGGCTGAGCCACACTCAAGGGCTCTGCTGACTTCTAAGCTGAGACACCAACTAATGGGGATCCCTTCCAATGGCTACCAAATGCCCCCCTAGACTGCTGTTGGGATTTTGAGATTCACTTTTTACATTGTTCCTTATAGAATGTTTTCCTTTGCCATAGCAAAATTTTAACTGAAACCACCTATGAGGGGGAAACGAATTTCTGGGGCAAAAGAAAGCAAATGAGAGGCCCAGCTAAACCCAGAGGAAAGCAGTTTGTTGCACATAGGGTAGCTGATGGCAGGTCAGGCATGCAGCAGATGGTCAGTGGTGATGAGGAAGCAGAGCTGATCAATGAGAGCGCTGGAGGTCACATAGCGATGGGCACAGACATTTCCGTTTCATTACTGACTGCCGCTCTCTCTCTCTAAACCTTCCTTCCTTCCTTCGGGAGGACTCTGCAAAGCCTCTCCTGAAAGACCCGTTTCCTATTGCAAGTACAGGGCCTGTGCTTTGGTTAAATTCTGTTTAACCACAGAGCTTGATTTCAGCAAACAATTCTGTTGTCTCTATTACCAAGTTCACAAATTGGAGGTGACTGAGCTGTACTTGATATTAAATAGAGTCTAGGCGCTCCTGCTTCAGGAAGGCTTGGCCCTTTCTCATGGACTGAATTTTTCACTAGGGCCCACTAGTCGCCTCTGTACAGGCTTTTCATTGCTGGGGACTGATGTTCCAAACATCGTTGTGGCATTAGAGATGCCACAGTCTCCCTAAGGGTGGCTCCTTAAGGATCGTCTGAAATCATTGTTGGCATTTTTGTTTTATTGAAAATATTCTTCTCCTTTAATTCAACTTGGTCCCAAATCAAGTTCAGTGCTAAAACTTTGGAAGATCCAGCATCCTAGGATGGACTTCCAGCCTGGTCAGTCAGAATTTCTCTTAGAGCTTCTCTTCTCGAGTACCTCAGCTACTGACAGTCCAATGATCTATAATGTGGTGATATCTGAAGTGCATATCTGGAGCCAAGTGACCATATTCCAAGTACTCAGGCATCACGTGTACAGGCACATAGTCCTGGGACATTTCCAGCACCTCATAAATTTCTATTGACAAATTTTGTGCAGGTGTCTTTTGACTCCTCTATGGAACCTCTGAGAGCTGGTCAGAGTCCCCAACGTCTGGAAGAGCATAAATCTCCTCCCATGCTTCAGTGAATTCCTAGTCCTAGTCTTTACAGGGCATTTGCAGCAACCCAAAGGAGCCGGAATGGATTCTAAAATGCCTCTTGCACTAGCTGTGAGATGAAGACTCCATCTGGTTTCATTTCATTTTGGAAATGCTGCTCCTTGCTTCGTGTAGACACCACAGCAAAAGCAAACTGAACCTTCTCAAGGAAAAGGAATTGGACAAATTCTAAATGGAGTCAATGGCACTGACTGATGTGGAAAACAAGATATTGGCATTTTTGAGTGAGAAAAGTGCAACATCTAGCAGGGCAGGCTCCTTTGAGTGTTAGCACAGCAAGTGCTAGTGCATTTCACACCACATTTAACCAAAAAATCCTGTCACTCTCTATCATCCAGTTTTTACATTCAAACTGCTGTTACTACAAAGTCAAAGTGATCTTTTTGGTGCTGGGGTGACGGTATGCCACTCGTGTTCTAAGAATCAGAGCAGCAAGAGTGACAAGCATGGGTACGGAGGCCAGACCTGGGTATCAGTCCAACCTCAGTGGGAAGGTGGTGTGTGAACTTGGATCCTGTCATACAGTGTCACGAAGCCTTGGTATCATCAGCAAAATGCAAAAATAACAATGCCTTTCTCCACAGGTAGGACATAGAGGAAAGAGCTTTCACCCAAAGCATTCTGGGAGTCTTCCTCTATTACTAGAGCAGTTATTGGCATTTTAACAAGTTTCCTTATAACTCTCCAAACAGCCTCATTATGAATCATTAATAGCAGAGGGCTGGGGTGATTGCTCCAGGAGCTAGTGTGTTGATGTACATGCAGGAGCCTGGCCCCCCACACAATGCTATAGTGACCCCTGAGCACCACTGGTTTGTGGCCCCCAAACAAACAAAAATGTTTCCAAAACAATTTCTACTGTTAGAAAGTGAGTCATTTTTAGCAGCATATTAGTGACTTGATTGTCCGAGTCCATAATGTTTTGTTTATTATTTTTAGTACAAAATTTGTATAATTTGTTATAGATAACAACTAATAGATATGTACAACTAATAGATATGTTGTTAATTGTTCTATTTGTTGTTAATTGTTCTATATCTATTTTGTTATCCATGTTATTTTTTTAAATACAAAAAAATCCCTTTGACCATATTTTCTACTCATTAATTTTGGAAATACTTAGTTTGTGTGTTTTATGTATGTGTATATGTGTGTTCAGATCAATGTAAAACTGTTACTAGGATATCTCTAGGCAGGATATGGGCTTCATAAAATGCTAACCTGATCCTAGAATACAGGATGACAACAGTAGAAGGATGAAGATATATTTGTCACTACAGCTAGAAATAGATATCCATTGGAATATTGATTTTTAGGGCATCAGCTCCACTCATGGGGCATTCAATATACCTTTACTAGACTATCACATTGACCTAACAAATCACATTGAAATGCAGCTTGTGACTTTTCAAAAGAGGCAAGAAATAAACATGTAATTGAAGTACTATTTTCCTTTTACAACACACATGTTTTACACAAGGCATTGCTAAACATTTTATACAGGAAAATTCTCAGCTTTGGGAAAGCTCAGTGATGTTCCAAGCCACATAGGTGGTAAGTGAAGTGGCTTGGATTTGAATCTAGGTCTCTCTCAATCCACATTTCTCTGTAGATATCAGTGACTCCCAGATTCCTTGGCACTAGATGGCTCTGAAGAGGAACAGAGCCTGCGCAGTGCCCTGTCTCATACCTTTCCCGTAGCCTTCACCATTCACCTGTCCCAGAATCTCTCCCATGGGAAAGCCACTGGAAAGACTCAGACTTTATCACTTGTCTTCATTGTCTTAATATGTCCAACAATATTCACTCAGCCAACTGCAATAGGCCAAGCTCATTGATCTTGCACAAGATATGTCAGGATGAAACTAAGATCCCTCCTGTATACAGAAGATCCTTTCATTTTCAGAGCACACAGGTAACACCTGTGAGTACTTAGAAGAGGGGCTTTGGCAATATGCCTTTGGATACAACAACATAAGTTCATAAATGAAAAGCAATATGCCAAATGACATAATGGAAGACTATCCTCCCTCCACTATAAAAATACCTGCATCTTCATCATTTCGCATGGAACTATTGCTGAAATAAGGCACATATCTTGGAAATCATATTTCGCATCTAAAATTCATTCTTACTGCCATGGTGTTTGTGAAACCAGCCACAGAGTTCCTCTGTATTTAACTCCCTGGTAACTGTGCCCTGTTTCACCCACGTGCCTTGCTTTGCTGCATGAATGTCTCCTTTGTTGCCAATAGGACTAATTTAAGGCCATTCAGGAGCTGCAGTATGCCACAGAGCACGCCAAGTGGGGAAGTTTATCCCTCATCCATCCCCAGTATCTTTTTCCAATGGGATAAAACTTCTTCCAGGTCACAGCAGGCATTTATATCACATGCAGATTGCATCAGTATGGGGGTGGGGGGTGTTGACTTTGCAGAGCTGTAAGGAAGTTGGCCAGTTTTATTTGCTATCTCATACTGAATAAGAAAAATCTTAAAATACAATTTTCAGTGGAGTCAAAACTCCTTTCTCCTCCTTTCTCCATGTTCCTGTTTGAGAAGTTCTTAACTAGTCCCCTTTCATTCCCGCTACAACAGTACAGTGAGGGGTTCCTGAGAGAAAGTTCTTTTACCAGGAGGGAAGCAAGAGAGGGGCTGAAACCTGGCAGATTTGGAGGAATTGGTACCAAAGAACAAACAGTCAGGGAAAATGAGAGGTTTCACCCTGCTGAGGCAGGGCACTCTGAAAATCCTCTCGCCAAAAGGGACCAAAAGGGAAATGGTCTCAAGACCGAGGCAAAGCCCTAAGAGCAAAGGTTTCCATGCACCCACTTTCTTGAGAAGGATGGTCAGAGCTTCTGCAGAGACTGGCTGGCTCACTGCCTTTCCCAGGGGCAGGGTGGGAAGAAGGAAGGAAAAGAGAGGTACTTACTGTTCGGGTCTACGTTTTCACACAGTTCTGTCTTGGCCTCACCGTTGGGCCTGTCACTGGGTTTGTGTGACAGCCGCGAGGACATGGTGGCCGCTGTAACCACCGCCTTGAAGCTCCGCTTCCGTTTCTGGACATTGAGCTCAGGGTGGAAAATGATGATGTACACTTTCGGCATGTAAAGCATCCCCAGCGCCACGGACGCACTTAGGTTCATGGAGATTGTAAGTGTGGTAGTTTGTATGTAGAGCTAGGAGACACAACACACAAGGCACTATTACAAATACAATGACCGCAGAGGGGCTCTGAACACTTACAGCCATGTCACAGATGATGCTGGCTCAGAGAGAAAGCATAGCCATCTCCCAGAACCTTCTACGTTACAATGAAGACAGAATGACTGTCCACATTTGTTGGAGTATCTACTCATGTGTTCACCTGACTTGATGGCATGGGTGTCTGCCTGCCCTGGAGAAGTCTCTTATAGGGAATTTCAGGCAGCCCTTTAATCAGATTTGAAGTTTCCTTATCAGAATTGGCAGCTGACTGTGAGGATGTAAAGATCACAGATATTTGTCATCTTGAAAAAGAGATTCTTTTATCCCTTAAATATACACATACCGAAAGGATTACTATCACACTCTTTTTCAATACAGAGGCTCTGAGGATTTATTTGAAATCTCATAGAGCAGTAAGTGGGGTGTCCACGAGAAGCACACTCTCTGCTATATTCTGACTTCAAGCACCACCCCCCATACCTCCTGGCCGCAGCAAGGTACTAAGACCTAGTGGTGTTGGCATGTACACTCTGCTTACACTGACACATTGCTAACAGAGTGCCATATCTGTGTCACTGTGTCAACTAAATGGTGACCACACAGCTGTCGTTGACCCATTTTTTTCCCGTAAGAAGTTATCAGAAATCACTCACTGCACAATGCACACATGTCTGCCTTGGTTATACATGGGGACAGACACGATTAGTGTGGGAAACTCAGGTCACCTAGGGGAAACCACAGACTGTTCCCTGGGTCCATCTGTGTTTAGCAGGTGCTGCCATCACTGATACACTGATGATGTACACAACTCACGGCCAGGCTGAATGGAAGAGGAAAAAGATTCCAATAAACCCAACTGGAGATCATTCCAGAACACAGACACAACCATTGCAGCGTGCATCTGGAAAGGCAAGTTCTCTGACCTAACTACATATTTATCAGACATTCCTCAAAATGGGGGAGAAATCAACAGGTAGGTAGGTACATACATTTAAAAGTGAATTTCCATGTTGTTAATAAAAAGAGCTGCTGTGAATCCTCACATGAGTAAGAACATGAGCCATCATGAAATGCTATGCTCCTGGCCCCCCACTGATCTGGGAAGCAGCTTCCCATCATTAAAGACAGACCCCAGTGGTCTGTGCTTTGCGAGACCCATTTACTGCTCCCCTCCTCACTTTCCTGGGCACCATCTGTATCACTGTTACTTCAGGTCAAGATGCTTATGTGCATCAAATCTAGGGAACTTCCCAAGGCTGGTCCATTTGGACTCTTGTTTTTCATGCTTCTGAGAACTTCCTTCCCAGGCAACCCTCACTCCCAACTCAGGTCTAGATCATTTCATTTCCCTACTCCCAAAGAAAATCTTTCTTTACATCCCTGCTGTGCAGGGTTTGTCCTGATCATGTAACTTTTTCTGATGTGAAGAGAAAGGAAGTAGGACCCTGAATATCTGTCCAGAAGCTGTACCTGCAGTGCCAGCTGAGTGGACATGGAGAAAGTCCGATGGATAGACTTATTGTGGTGGAATAGATAGGTTTTTTTCCCATATATCACCTCAAGGTCAAACAACTATTCTCTAGTTACCTGAGTGCCTCATCAGTCCTACTGAGGACTGGGGCTCATCTCTGCTAATAGGGTCTCAGGGAAGAAATCAACATTTTGCCATTCCAGCAAATATGAACTTGAATGAGTGCTTTCCTGGGTAATTTCAGGAACAACCAAATGCCACATAGTGTACAGCAAATACAAAACAGGCCAATGATATTGAATTCACAATTCTTTTGTTTCTGAATAAGATCATGGTTTAAAGACTTATCCCATTCTCAGAGAGACCTTTAAACTTTGAACACCATGCCCCATTCTGGAGAGACTGGATGATCACTGGCCTGTATGGACCAGGACAGCCTATATTCCTCTCCTGTCCACTGCAGTTATCACACTAGTACACATTTTGCGAACCTGGCTGAGCCAGGCCAAGAGGGAAAGTCATTCAGGCCAAACCCCAGGGGCTTAGTTTTGGTTTCTGCTTATCCACTCAGGAGAAAATCATTCTGTATCATCCATTGTGTTATGTGGTTGGGTTATATATGCGTCACCATCAATTACATGCACATTTGCTATTGTGGCAGAACTATGTATATACATGCATCTGTATGCATGCATGCATAGATCTCAACAAAGGGTACTCAGCAATGTGCACCTAAAAAATATATTCATTCTTCATTATATGGAACATTGATTCTTGGTATCTCAAACTCCAGTCCATTGAGACTTCAGTAATTTGTTCTGAAAATTTATAGTCTCATGACACTTTAGAATTTAAAAAAAAATTTTATTAGTGAAGCACTAATAAAAAGGTACAGTTGTAGACATAGGTATTACATGGAAAGTGTCATGCTAAGTGAAATGAGTCAGAAAGAGAGGGACAGAACATAGGAAGATTGCATTCATCTGGGGTATATAAAGTGACACTTTAGAATTCTTTGAAAATTCACATAAATGTCACCCACAAAATTTCTACGTATGTCATCCTTTTTTCATCTCACAGTAGGTCAGAATGAGATATCGAGACCTCTCTGTCAGCGTTCAGTTCTCATTTACCTCTGTATTCAGTTCTATGACCTTGGCCAAATTACTGCCTGCCATATCTCCAAATGCCAGGATGTTGTCTAGATGAATAAATGAGTCTGTACTTAAAAAGTGTGTGGCACAGGATCCAGCCATGCTAGTCAAGTAGTCTTCAGTATACAGTTAGGACAAGGTGAAAGTTATTGGCCCTCAGCCTATAACCTATTTCCCTACCTGAACACCCCGAGTGGAACAGAGCCAGCGTATCCTGGCTGCAGAAGCAGGCTCATCCCGTACGGACAGATCTTATGGTGGATTGTTTTAGAAAACCAGCATATTTGTTCTCAGTCCCATGTTCTTGTTCAATGCTCACTGTCAAATATGTCCTGATTGATTTGCATGTCTCACCCCACTTTACTGTGTCTTCCATGTGATGTCTTAAGAGTGGCAAAGGCTGTGGGCAATTACTATGATCTCCCTCCTCAGTCTGGGAGTCCTGGCAAGCATGCAGCTGTGCTGAGAAGGAAGCCCTCCTCAGGCTGGCCCCTGCCTCTCTCATCTGGAGGGTAAAGGATCCACACAGAATGAAAGTATTGCCCCCATACCCACTCCTCCATCAACCCTCCATGGACCAGTCTGTGGGAAAACAAGACACGCTGCTTTGGAATCTCCAAATGCCTGGATCAATGAAGCCTTCATTTTAGCATCAAACTAATCTCTCTCTCTCTCTCTCTCTCTCTCTCTTTCCCCCCCCCATCCCCCTGACTATGCAGAGGGCTTACTCCTGGCTCTGTGCTCAGGTATCACTCCTGGCAGAGCTCAAAGTATCATAGGGAGTGCCAGGGATAGCAAAACAAACAAACAAACAAACAAAAACCTGTATTAGCCACATGCAAGACAAGAGCCTATCTCTCTGGTTCAGGTGTGACTTTCTATCACTCACCTTGTATAATTCAGCTGTAATAACCAAAGAATATCTAAATATGAATGTAGGTACAGGCCATAAAAGAGCTTTGCATAATATTCTAGAGAAGTTTCTAGAATAATGTCTCAAACTCTGATGCATGGAATCCTTGTCTGGAGTAGTTCTTATACATGGAATCCTTGTCTGGAGTAGTTCTTATACTTCATTCATAAAATAAAACTAATATCTCCTCCTTCATATTTTAACAAACCTAATTAATATCTAAAAAGTACTTGAAAATATGTCATATGAGTACCCATGAAATGTTAACTGCAAAACTTGACACCCCTGGGAGAGAAGCTCCAGCAGGAAAGGAATTTCAAAGAAGATCATCAACTACTCCCAACTCTTACCCCCTTGGCAACCCCCTAGCAAGGGACTTTTGCCCTGGTAGAAAGCCCCATATGGGGCAGGTTGGAAAAACCCTCTAGAAGCAAACTAAACAAGGAATTGTGCGCATACGCTGCCTGTGCCCATGACTTGCTGCCATGTGCATGTGGTGCCTGAATCCCTGGATGTGTCCCAAAGCAAGAAAGTATGGACGTCATAGTTTCATATCTAATGCCAGTGTACTAAGGCTCCCTCTCCATTCTGGAGATGCTCACATGTTCTCTTAAGCATGTTATTTTCTCTTTCTCACCCCTTCCACCAAACTCCCAAATAAAATGTTATACTTCAAAAAATGTGTTAGATGCAAACATACACTTTTTGTCCCATAGGGAAATGAGCTGGTCGTGATGGAGATCTCAAGCGAGGCTACTGTTATAATCACATTCATATACATTGGACTTTGTTCCAGTGTCTCATTGATTGAATTGGTTACAGTGTCTAAAAAATCTCTTTGTTATACTCTGCTTTCTCTTTAGAAAAGTCTTTTGCCTTTATAAAGACCAGTTTCTTTGTGTCTCATCCGATTGAAAAGTATCAGCAGGTACTGCTGGAAGAGGGTGCAGGAATTATCTATTTAGCTGGGCTTAGGCTGGTATTGAATTCGCTCTCTGCATTTTTCTCATGTTCTGTAAGTTCATTGTCAGACCAAACGTGGGGGCTTAGCAGACAATGTCACTGCTGTTTTTTCAGCTGGAGTAGCATCTCAGGTTAGTTGAGTTCTTGTCTAACTCATGATTGCTAAAATACCGAGAGACTGGAAAACTTGTTAGTGTTCCAGAGAACACTTTGAAATTTGCAAATTCTTCTGAGTTAGTTGCGGAATGGATTTCATTGAAGACAATTTTGAGAGATTTCCTGGCAGACTGCTAATAGTTGTAACACTGACAGGTTTTAAACTTGGAAATTCAGAGTATTTTTCATCCTCCAGCCCAAAGAATAAAAGGCAAAGATGAAAAATTTTCAGGGCCTAGAGATCTGTATAAAATGAGAACTTTCAGGGGGAAAACAACCAATTTCAGGGCTCATCAAAAGTGTCTCATTGTGATG